TTTTGGTCACTGCACCAGCCTCATGGTTTGGGCCACACCTGTGTCCCACCTGCATTATTCTCTCTTCAGTGTTCTTTCAGTCCATTTTTGAAAGCCTTTGAACTTCTTTTCAAAAGATTCTTTATATCACAGCAATATATGGAAAATCAGTTTCTAAAAAATCTAGAAGAATATCTCAGTGTCTAAAAAAAATAAAAAGATTGGTAAACCTCTAAAATGATCTTGGGAGTGTACCGCATTTGGAAGATTCTGTTTAAGTTCATTCGCTGTGTGTGTTTCTCCTCTTTGATGGAACTGTGAGGAAGTTAGCTCCCGCTGCCCTTGAGAGTAGAGAGCACTGGATAAGTACTCAAGGGCAAGTGGGGGAGGGGGATTTCTGCAAATTTATCTCGGTGAGATTGGTTTCCTGCTGCAGTTGCTTGGGCTATGACAGACCCGGTCTGCCTGACAGAACCCCACCCCACTCCTCCTTGTTCTGTGGTTTTCTCATCATTGCCCTTGTGATGGCTGAAGGTACCCCTAGTTACTTGGAGGTAGATGGGTGAGTTACAGCTGAAAGGCCAGATTCTTGGAGAGGTGCTAGCCTTGGCAGGTGGATCACTGACTGGTCCCAAATGGGGTGAGAAGCCCCCAGCTGCACCTGGAGCAGTGGTGACTACACTCTGGTGGACGGGGAGAAAGCAGTCGGACCCTCAGGACTTGCTGGTGGCCCATGTTACTAGAAAGTCTGAGTGTAGGTGGTTCTTAGCAACAGTAGTGTCCCTGCCCCCAAATTTTCTAGATGGTTTTTTAGATGATCGGTCAGGGTTTGTTATTAAATCAACTCTGTTGGTTACAAAAACAACTAGATGAGGTAGGGTGATCTTCAGCTGAGCTGTGTCCTCCTAGAATGAAAGAAGGGGAAAATCCTATGAAATGGAGAAGAGGGAGTTCCCCTAAGGTCTTAACGGACAGGGTGACAAACACCTGTGCGTCCTTGATCAGCGCTGTCCTCCTCACAGGCTCACCACGCAGGAGTTGCCAGTGTAGATGGGGTGGAGGTGCCTCCCCCTGTACAGGTGACGGGGTGGCCTGCTCCATAGCAGCTTCAACTTTCCTCCTTAGCATTTTCTTAGTAAGTTCTTTAAGGCTTAAAAAAAATACTTACGAGACTAGATAGTGAAAGTGTTTTTTGCCTGCAAGCATAACTTCGCTGTAGAAGATGAGGGAACAGGGCTGAGCAACCAAAAGAGAAAGAGGCCAAAAATAAAAGCCCTATGACCTCATTGCTCAGAGGAGTCTCTTGGGATACCGCCCATGTGCACCGTCATCAGGGCTGTGTGGCGCACATACTCCCTCATGTGCGTGCACACATACATGCTGGGGGGTGTGTAGCAAAGAGGTGAAGCCCCCTGGCTCTGAAGACACACTGCCTGTAAGCTGATGTGCCCAGAGCCCTGCTCAGGCTTTGGTCTTCCCTGCTCACTTGGCTCTTTACCTGTTGAGGCTGACGAGCACCTGGCGGTGGGACCTGTGGTGGCTTGAAGGCCCTTGTCGGGAGATGGGGGGGAATGAGTGAGCCTGCACCACCCTTCCCGTATTTTTCATGTGCTTGGAGGGCCTCAAGCCTTTTTATAGTCAAGATTCATTTAGTTAACTAATGCATTCTATTATCTCATGAGGTGTCAAATAAAAAGGCATTTTTAATTTGCTAATCATAATAGACCTGTGTAATAAGAATGATGGACTCTCTATGGCTCTTCTAGCTACCAATTAACGTCCTGTCAGCTGGTTGCAAATTAGTTGTCCAGAGCCTGGGAATTATTTTCTCGGCCTGCTGATGTGCTTTTTTTTTTTTTTTTTAAAGTTTATTTTTGTTAGCAATCTCTACACCCAGTGTGGGGCTTGAACTCATGACCCCAAGATCAAGAGTTGCATGCTCTTCTGAATGAGCCAGCCAGGTGCCCCGGTAATAGGTTAAGTTTTAAAAAACAACAACAACAACAACAACAACAACAAACATAGCGTTTTGGTGGGGCAGGAGCTCCCTGGTTTTCAAAGCCTCCTGCCCTCTACTCCCTCTTAGTCCTGGTTGGTACTGTTTCTTGGCCTAGCCTGTGTGACTGTAGTGGCCATCTAAGTCTGTATTCCATCTTAAGAGAGACAGGGCGGGAGAGGATGCTTAGGAGCCTCAGTGAAAGCAGTGGGCTGGACGGAACCACACACACATTGACACACACGCACATGAGCGCATACACACATGCACACAGGTTGCCCCATATCAGACTCCTGGTTTTGCTCTTGCTCCATTGGGGAGGCGGGGCCAAGGGCATAGAATCTCTTGGTATGATCTTTGCAACTTCATGTGAATCTATAATTACTTAAAAAAAAAATTGAACCAAAAGGGCCTCGTCAGGTGTTTTGAGTTTCATTCATAAACAGAGCCAGTAACCTGAAAGTGTTAACTGCCCACAAAAGGCAAACAAGTTCATAGGTAAGAAACTGGGATGAATTTATGGCTCCCAGAGGTGCTCATCCAGTGGTTTGATGTACTCTGCACTTTCCCTTCATCTCGTTTGAGATCAGTTTATATTAAAAACCTTGGTTTTAATCTATCACATCTAATTTTGCATATTCTGCCATGTGGAAGATGCTCTGCCATGAACCCTAGTTAAATGAGGCCATGAAGAAATGCAGATAAATTGCTTTCCCTAGTTTTCAGGTCCTCTGTGACTTGAATTCACACGTGGAGAGGAGGTGTAGGTTGGGATGAGTGACAAGACTCTGCCGAGGGAATCCAAGAAAACAAGCTATATGATCCACGTGTATCAGGGAACATTTCCCTTCCCCAAACCTTTCCAGGACTTGTTAGTTGCTTAGCTTCAGATGTTTGCTATTCACATCACAGATGGTGGAAGTTGCAGACACCTTTACAAACATCCGTGAGAAGCTGTCTAGGAGGAGGGAGGGGGGTGATTAAGGGACTCCTCTGTGGTTCACTCTCTAGAGCTTCTGAGATGAACGCAGCCTTCTCAGGTGACACCTAAGTATATGCTAGACTCTGCAGTTGGTGATGTTCTTTCTGCCAAAAGTACAGAAAAAATAGCAAACACAGGGCTGAAGTGTAGTCACATGCATGGAAAACAATACTGACGATGGGCAGTTGAAGTTTATACCCTGAGTAAATGTGTGGCGCACATCCATACCAAGGAGTGGCATTCGCATCCATAAATAGAGGGAGTTAGAAACTGCCTGTGTGGTGAATTGTTAAAGAAGATGACCCAGTTGCGGAAAAATTTATAATACCCGGTTTCACAAAGTAACCTATATTTGAGTGTATTCGGTTTGTAGTGACTATATGAGTGTGGAGGAAGTCTTGACATGTATATCTGGATTTTCACCACTGGTTACCATGAGGAAGGGGGGTGAGTGGAACAGTGAACAAAGGGAAAAAGACTTCAAACAAAAAAATGAAAGGAGTGTGAGAAATGTTTCACCCAGGGAAAACAGATTAACTTTGTGTGTGTGCGTGTGCGCACGCGCATGCCTAGAGAGAGAGATGATAGCATAACTACAGAAATGTAACTGGGATTGATTTTAAGGTGTTGGGCTTTCAGCTGACTTTTACATTCCTGCTTAAATGTCCTCTGATTATTTTGCGATGAGCATTTAAATTTTTATAAAAGAAACCCAGTCTTAAAGCTGTATTCATATTGAGGAAATGTTCTCTCGTATTTATTTATTTTTTTAAAGATTTTATTTATTTGAGAGAGAGAGAGAGAATGAGAGAGAGAGAAAGCACATGAGAGGGGGGAGGGTCAGAGGGAGAAGCAGACTCCCTGCCGAGCAGGGAGGCCGATGCAGGACTCGATCCAGGGACTCCAGGATCATGACCTGAGCCAAAGGCAGTCGCTTAACCAACTGAGCCACCCAGACGCCCTCTCTCATATTTGAAGGCACTCAGGCTCAAGACCTTTGGGTGAGAGGAGGAGTAGAGTCAGAAAATGTGGAAGAGGCAACTCTCCCTGGGGCGCTGATGACAAACCAAGTTCAAGTCCCAAAGGAGATGGAGAAAAGCTCTTCTGGGCCTTGGGGACAGAGACACCTGTGCTTGTGTCTTGGCAATGTCCATTTCTTATGACCTTGACCTTGGCCGTGTGACCCTTGTCACAGACCTTATCTGTGTCCCTGTTCTTCTTTATAAATTGAGGAGAATACTATTGGGTCATTGTGCCTAATACATGACAGGCATTTAAACATTTTCCCAATGAATGAAGAATGAACGAATGCATGCTTGATTCAGCAAAGTCACTTAGGTAAAGTCTGAGCTGTGTGACACTCAAGAATTGGTAGTTTTCTCCTTCTCATTCTTGTGTTCTTTTCCTCAGCCAGTGTACCTGGGGTTTGACCTTGGTAGAGTAGGGTTTTGGTGGAGCCTGAGTTCTGTGTTCCATGGTGTAGAGTCTTGTGTGGAGGTGGGTGTGGACCAAGCTGCTGGTCTTTATGATTCCCTTTCCTCTTCTGTAAAATAGGTGTTGTAATGACACATCAGAAAGGTTAAAGGAGATGATAAAGACTTCACATGATGCCTGGTAAATACTAAATGTTCATTGCATGTAGCTGCTAATAAAAAAAGACTATTCCCCAGGTTGAATAGGTGGTACTTAGTATATGCTTCCGTAAATGGAGAGAATATTACTGAGTGCCTGACACCGAATAGGCACCTAACAGCTTGACAGATTCAGATAATCCGAGCACCCATGTCCGCATCCTGACTTGGTAGGAACTGGATCCAGTTAGCATTTGCTTTCATTATGAATGAACGCTTGTTGCAGGCATTCTGCAAATGTGCCCTTGCTAATGTAGTCTTCCCCAGCTAGGATTTCTAAAACAAAGAATGTATTACTATTTATAAGACGAGCCCCATGTGTTTTCTTTACACAGATTGACTCCCCCCCCCGACTTAAGTCTAAATTGCCAGTTTTTAAAAATGTATTTTTTTAACATTCTTGTACCTGCAGAGAAAACGAGGTGCTCAAAGTCCAACTGAAGAAATACGTAGGAGCTGTCCAGATGCTGAAAAGAGAAGGTCAAACCGCTGAAGGTGAGGGGGAGACTGAGCTTGGGTGGGAAGGGGGCCAAGCTTTTTCACCTTCATAGTCCCTGTGCCTGGTACACAGGAGCCACTCAGCATGGGATGAGTGCATATGCAGATGAATTAGAGAAATAGTGCTGGTCAGAAACTCTGGAAAACAAATTAGATGGAACATCCTGCTGTGTATTCTTGGTACATGCATAACTCATGTCCTAAGACTTAGTTGCTGGATTACTAGCAACGGTTGTATTAATTTGTGTGCCTAGGGAGTTTTATGTCTGAGGTCTTGAGATACTTGCCTGGTAGAGAACATTGCAGCATGATTAAGTCCCATCAGACCCGTGGTGAAAGCAATAGAACCCCAAAGTGGTGGAGAACCCGAGCTGTGGAATTAGGCTGACCTGGTTCCAACCCCAGTTCTGGGTAAGTTCCTTCATCTCTCTATACCTTAGTTTCTCCATCTGTAAAATGGGGTTAGTTGACAGTCCCTACCTCATGAAGTAATCCATGTAGACATCTTAGCATAATGCCTGCTATAGGGTACGTACTGAGTAAATTTTAGCTGTTGATATTATTAGTCAGAAATACAAGTAGAGAGAAAAATGATCACTTGACCAAGATTGCACTAAAGGAGGTGATAGCATACGCTTCGCCTCTCTGCATTTTGGCTACAGTTTAACTGTCACGAATCAACTAAAACTTGTCTCAGTTTGGCTGGAATAAAGTATATTTCACTTTGGCTGAAATGTCTTGCAGCCTTCAGCCAAATTACCATTAAGAGATTTCCTTAAACACAAATGAGCTCTTGGGATGTAGACATTGTAACAAAGGGGTGGACCCTCCAGGCTCATAGGTCTTGGGAGTCTGCCAAACCTGCATTTGAATCTAGGCTCACCCAGTATAATTTGAGGTGTTGGAGTTATTTTGCCATCTGTAAGTGGAAACATCCCACCATTGTCAATGGAGGTAGTTGTGAGGATTTACTGAAACAATGAATGTGAAGTTTCCAGTATGGCACCTGGCCTGTAATTGGTGTTCAGTAAATGGTAGTTATGTTTCTTTGTAATAGAGGGAGACAGGATTGGAGTCAGGATGTGATTTGCATACTAATAACAGAAAGGCTTGAATTTTGTTTAAAGCTTTTGTGTTGATTATGGTCTCTGGTTGGCTTCAACATCTTGGTTATTATTATTAATTTTTTATCACATGCCTTGCTTGGTTCATAATTGGTCTATAACTGTTACCAGTCTAGGGGTTATCATTGCAGAATTAATCATGTCTTCCTCCGTGGGCTCATCACTTTTTCAAACAGACACTGCTTTTATGGCCCTGAATCCATTTTACCATGTGTTCTGGGGGTGTCAGTCTTTTGACTTTGACTCCGCATCTTTTGTTTCCCCAGCACCTAGCTTTTGTAGTTGCTCATTCCATCCATTATGTGTTTTGAATGAGTAGTATTTGTCTACCCTTTACCCTTTCCGGGCAGCTTCAAATCTGTTTCCTTTGAACTTTGTCACCCTGTGAAGAGTAGGTTTTTTCCTCTATTTCAATTTTTTGATTTTTCTTTATTTTTTAGAAAGTTCATTATTGGAGGCTTAGGAGAGCTTAAGGGGCTCATATGTGTATCTAGGGTGGAAGTGAACCCAGGTCATTTTCCTCTGAATCCCTGGTTCTTTGCCTTACAAAGTTCTTAAACTGGAGTCCACAGAGGGCATTACCTGGGGAACTTATTAAATATGCCTGTTCTCAGGGAGGAAGAGTGCTGCTCTTGTCGGCAGTGGTTTCAGTGGATCTAGGATGGGCCCCACGGTTGCACGTCCAGATATGTGACTCTAATGCACGTGATACATGGATGGCACCCCACCGCCTTTTGAGAAATCCGTACTCTGCTTGCTCAGAACTAGGGTTCAGGGCAGTAAGAATATTAAACCTAGGAGAAAAGAAGCACTGTTTGGCTTTTGTTTGATTGAAAAACGTCAGCACTATAAAATACATTTCAGAGTATGAGCATTATTAGAGTCCTTCCACCGGCATGTAGGTACGTGGAACCCACAATGTACAGAATAGCTTTCTGTGGCAGCTGTAGTTGCCCGTCCTGAGGCACAGCCTGGATGTTCTGAGCTGAAGTTGGGGATGCGCCTTCGGGATGCTGAGACCGCCCTGGAATGGATCGGAGCAGAGACCGTGTGGAGGGTCTTGTACTCCTTGTGACAGCAGTCCTTCCTGCGAAATTCAAGACTATCTACCTTCTCAGTGGGTCATCTGTCACTGCACGGTTTATCTGAAAGTCCTCGGGTGTGGGTGTGAACTGGTGGGTGCTTGGATGTGACTTAGGCCCTGTAGTTCATGCCTTTCACTCAGAAACACTAGTGCGCACCTGCTCTGTGCCAGGCACCGTGAAGCAACCTCATGAAAAGGTACTCTTTTAAAGAGCTTTAACCTAATTTTCAAGTGACGTCCTCTATTAGTCAAGCAAATTGGGGCTCACTCCTCAACCCCAGCTAGTTGCTGACTCATGTTGAACTACTGAGTGTGTGTCCTTGTCAGGCTGTGGTAACTGGGGGTGTCTTGGCCAGGCTGGGATGGCCAGGGTTGTCTGGGGAGTTGGAGGAGTAGGGGGAGGGAGAGAGGCTTTTCCCATTCGTTATTTCCTTGGCTCCTGGTGTTACAGGGGTGGACATAGAGATGTATACCAGCTTCCTAAATTCTAGGTGCGAGTTCAGAATGCATTTTGCACAATATAAGCCTTTTAGTTTGAGGTTATAAAGATTCTTTTTATCGTTTCGCAACAACTTCTTTATGAAGGTGTGAGCTCTCATCAGTAAGGAAAAGAGTGAAAAAATAATTTGAAGCCCCAAATACCTTCAGGGTTGAATTTATTGCTGTGGCTTGTGTTGGGACCCCCACCTTCATTGTTGTGGAAAAATGCCTTCAGGATTAAAAAAAAATTAATAATGGACCATTAGAATAGATTGTTAAAACATTTAATTTTGTAGATCTCAGATTCCCATTGTCATCCTTTTTTTTTTTTTTAAAGAATAGTATTTTCCCTCTAAGAAAATTGAGTTTTTTTTTTTTAAGATTATTCATTTGAGAGAGAGTGTGTGCACAAGCAGGGGGAGTGGCAGAGGGAGAGGGAGAAGCAGACTCCCCATGGAGCAGGGAGCCCGATGGGGGTTGGATCCCGGTACCTGGGGTCATGACCCAAGCTGAAGGCAGATGCTTAACTGACTGACCTACCCAGGTGCCCCGAAAGTTAAGGTTTAATCAGCAAAATACTGAACAGCATTTTGGCTGCCCTCATTAACTAACTGAAGGAATTTTTTGTTCCTAATGTGGTCCAGAAGTGTGAGGTTGGGTTATTCACCACTCAAGTGCTAGTTGGCCTTGCTGAGATCTGATTTCCCAGAAGCTTATGCCTTCCATTGAATATTTGGATCTCTCATCCTGGCATGTACTGTCTGCTCCCCATCTAGCTTTTGAGCTGTGGCATGAGGGCTGCCATGTCCACAGTGAACTGGCTTGACCATTAAGCTTGCAATGTGGCTCTTACTTGGTGTTTAATTGGTTCTGTTAAGGAATTCAGACATTCCTCCTCTCCAGCACAGGGCACTTTCCCTTACTGAGGGAGAGCAGGAGATGGCTCTCCGGACTTCATGTTTCCATCTATGGCTTCTCTGAAGTTTGGAACCTAATACATCAAGTTGGCTTCTTGCCTGGAGAAGGCCTTCTGGCAGCTCCCTGAGGGGCCTGAGGAGCAGGCAAACCCACTCAGATACTTGCTAGGGTGTGTGAACAGGACTGGCTCATTCTCTCAAGAGTGAACTCAAATTGGCCAAGCACGCAGAGAATGCTGTGTAATCAGAAGAGCAGTTCATTCAGTGGTTAGTGAGAAGGCAGATGGCGAGTAAACCAGGAGCCCAAAACTGACGCTCAGGCCCATCATTCCTTTGGGTTTACCAATTTGGGGAGCTGGAGTCTCCCCTGATGGTGGCTTGTTGAGTCCGAGAAGGGGCAAGTAGTTCGGTGCTTCATCTGTTGAGCATCCTGACGGCCCCCACACTGGGGGAGGGAAAGGTCTTGGCGCTGCAAGCCCATGGAGATGATGTTCCCTGGCTCTTTACATGGTCCTTTTTCTTTTCTTCTGGCTTGTGGTTTAACAGGGTTCCGTGCTATTTCTTTCAGATGGTAGTTGAGAATTCCCTCTCTCACCAGAGAATGTGCGTGTGGGGTTTTTCTGTGAGATTTAGATATTTTGTACTTGCCTCATAACCAGTAGTCAGCAGATGACTTTGTTTCAATTTAGAGATGATCCTTAATCTTTGCTTGTCTCCTTTCCGCTCTAGTTCCCTGTAAGACATAGACACAGGACTCTCCAGGAAACTCCAGCTTGACCTGTAGCCACAGTCCCCCTTCCCTAACAGATTTCGACCCAGGTGTAGACCCAGGAACGCCCCTTGTGAGGGATTGTTGGGTCTGTAGAATTCTCACCCAGTGTGGACCGAGAGAGAAGAAAGTCCATGGGGGTAGGTAGTTGACTTTTTAATCAACCCCACCCAATTGAGAATCTCATCAACCAGCTCTGAGCGTATTTGGCTGGTGGAAGTCTCCACGGGGAAACGCAGCCTCTGGATGGAGGCGCTGTGCTGAGAGCCATGAGGACTGCAGCTGGGGAGAGGCCTCTTGAGGGGGAAATCCCGTCAGGGCTGCGTCGGGGGCGTGGTGTGGCGAGTGGCACCTCCTCCATTGCATCGACCATCTGGAGAAAGAAGGAAGGCTTGTTCTGTCAGGGTCCGTGCGTCTTTGTCCAAGGTGCCATTTCCTCCTGAGCAAGTGGCCCTGTGTGTGGCCCATGAACGACGCTCACAGCCACAACACTGGGGAAACCGGCACTCCACATGGTCCTAGCAGCTCACGATGGATGTGGGTGGGTGAATGACTTCTGTGGAAGGACACCATGGACTCCCCTGCACAACTGACAGGGGCCATGTGACCTTTCTGTGACTCCG